CCGGGCCCGTTGGAATAGGTTCCAGGCCCTCTCGAGGCTATCCTTTATTTTCTATCTGTTTATCTCCGCAAGATTCTCCGCTATAAATCCTTCTATCTAATACTTCCTGCTGCTCGCACTCAAGAAAACTCTGGGAAGCTGTGGGGGTGGTGGGTAAACGCCCCACAGGTTATGTATGTGCCATTTTTGAGTTGTTTGATCAAAGTAAGTTTCACAGCTTATGTATGTTTCAGAGTCCCCAGCCTTTAAACGATTTCAACTCTCACAAACTGATTGGAGCTACTGTTACCATCTTAACTGTGACCTAGCCTACCTTCCCACCTAGAGCTCATGTCACATGCAACTTGTCTTCTGAGAGCCACATGTCCAGTGTTGTCTACTCAGCAACATCATGATGTCATACGTCACCTGGACTCTCAGCCTTGTGATGTCCAAAATGGAGTGAATAATCTCTTTATACCTCCAACCCCCTGCCTTCTTCACTGTTCCCTGTAAAGTAGATAGAACAAACACCTGCTTGCTCATGCTGCAACCTAGAGGTTGACCAGATACCTCTTTCTCCTTTACTCCTAAGCTAAGTAATTATCATATTGTTCTCTCCTTGATGGCTAATTTGTTGTTTTGTTTTATTTTGTTGGTTTGAGACAGGGTCTAGCAGTGCCTATCTTTCCTGCCTCCACCCCTTAAGTACTAGGATTACAGGTATGCACCACTATCACCAGCCTGTGTTTCTTCACTACATCTATTTCCAGGAAGAATTTCCAACCAGCAGTAAATGTTCCTCAAATAAACCTCTCTGGCTATGATACTGCCTCTGCACACAGCCATTTGCCTTTCTCTCTCTTTTCTTTTGTATTCTATTTCTTTGCTTCTTTTCTTTGAGTGGTACCAAGAGTCTTGCACATGCTTGGCAACCATTCTTACTTCGAGCTCCATCCCTAACTCCTTCTGTTATCCACACGGTTACCAGTTTAATCCAACCAACCAGCACCTCTTGCCTAGGCAACTATCATAGTACCTCATTGGTCTCTCTGCACTTCACTCTTGTCCCATGCCCCTTTCCAGGATCTAATTCATACATCCCACCGTGGCTAGAATGGTTTCTTTTATAATAGACTATAGGAACTGGCAAGATAGTTTAACTGTTAAAGTTCCTTCCATGTAGGCCTGAGGATCTGAGTTTGAATCTCCCATACCCATATAAAAACCAGGCCTGACAGCATGCCTGTAACCCCTGTGGTAGTGTGTGTGTGTGTGTGTGTGTGTGTGTGTGTGTGTGTGTGTAGACAGATCTTTGGAGTTCATCCACCAGCCAGCCTAGATGATCAATGAACTCCAAGTTCAGTGACAGACCTTGTTTCAAAATAAATAAATATCCAGCTACAGTGCCATATGCTTTGAATCCCAGTACTTGGGAAGCAGAGGCAGGAGGATCTCTGTGAGTCTGGGGCCAGTCTGGTCTATATAGCAAGCTCCAGGACATCCAGAGCTACATAGAGAGAGCCCGTCTATAAATAGGAAATAAGGAAATAAATAAATTAAAAAAGGGGAGAGTGACAGACACCTGACATTGACCTCTGGCATTCATAGGCATCCAAATCCCCCCCACACACACACACACCTCTATATTTGGACATTCACCCTTCTACCTACAGTTCTATAACTGTCTACCATAACTCTTAGGGGAAAGCCCATCTGTAACTAGTCTGCCATCAGCCGTCAGCAGGGATGCCCCCCCTGCAAGCCCATCCATTCCTTCTCCTCCTTCCTCTCTATGCCTATGTCATATCAGCCCCATTCCCTTTTCTGAAATAACCCAACATTGCTGTAGGCTCGAGGCTGTCACGTGTGGCTGAAGCTCATCTTCACTTACATTTAACTTAGCTGATTTCTCATCCTCTCAGTTCCTGAAAAGGGAAAAAAACAAAAACGTTGCTTCCTCACGGGAAATCCTCTCTAACCCCTTGTCACTGCTAACTGAGATCTTTCCATTTTGTCTCTTTTGGGGTCTACTCTCCTTGATTGTATATTTTTTAACTTGTAAAAGGAAAAGGAGTGTGACCCTAAGTTCACAACAGCTCTCCACACTAGACCAAGGTTGACAGAATAAACAAAATGTGTTGCACGTTCACACAATGAAGTCTCGCTCTGCCTTAGAAAGAAGAGAATTCTGACAGAAAACTCTGCAGTGATGTGCTTGATTACACGGATCGCCTCTACTCTGTCTTCTCCATTGTCCATGGCTTCTTGAGAGGCCAGGCACTGGATTCCCTTTTGGTATGTCTTCTCAGCATTTGGCTCTGGGCCTGTTAGGACAGTCTCTCATTATAGAGGAGAAGGAGATCCTGGAAGACAGAGAGAGCTCAGATGAAGGTCAAGTGGGCCCAGGAGCCTGGGTTTCTGCCTCTTTAGTGCTGGCCCCTGAGAAGACGCGCAGCTGTCTCTCCTCTTGTTGCCCTAACCCAACACAGACTTATGATTAAGATTCCTTTACTTAATGCTACCTGAGCCTTCCTCTTCCCGGAGGGCTGCAGCTCTGGTTCTCCCTCCACAGACACTCCTGAAGCCTTTTGGGCAATCTTTTTTTTTTTTTTTTTTTGGTTTTTTCGAGACAGGGTTTCTCTGTGTAGCTTTGCGCCTTTCCTGGAACTCACTTGGTAGACCAGGCTGGCCTCGAACTCACGGAGATCCGCCTGCCTCTGCCTCCCGAGTGCTGGGATTAAAGGCGTGCGCCACCACCGCCCGGCCTTTTGGGCAATCTTAACACATGCTCTTGGAGCCAACCTTCTGAGCTAGCCTCAGCTTTAAGAGTTTTTAGAGATCCTACGCAATGTGCATTACAGTTTCCTAAGTAGATCAGGCGACATTCTTCAACAGCCAATCTGGAGCCTCCTTGGGAACTTAATATTGAACTATAAGACAGTGAAGTCCAGATTCAAATCGAGGCAACCCAGGTTCAAACCCAACCACCGAGCTAACAAGCTGCTGGCTACTCCTTGGGGTAAGCATCACCTAAGGGCTTGTGACTTGTGACCAAAGACAGAAGAGGCATGGAGGAACTGAGCACACTCTCTCCCCACCCAGCCCCTTGCTGTGAGCCTCCAGGTGTTGCTCTCCGGGAGGTGGAGTGACTCACCTGTCTAGCAGATTTGGAAAGTGCTTTGGCTCTGAGCTTCCTGGAGCTGCATCTGCTGGTCATTACCCACCCTGAAACTCTCTAGCATGGATCCATCAGTCCAACTTGGAAGAAAGGTGTCCTCTAGGTTGACCAGTCAGAGACTCTAGAACCTTCTGAGAGCCCTGAGTATTCAAAGCAGAAGAGTACACATTTAATCCTAGGCTCCTCTGACCTGAAACACCCCATACTCAATTCCTAGTAGTGCCCACCCAAAACAGGCCCACCCTTCTATCCCCGTGAGACCTCCGTGTCAAGACATGTCTCCCCTTGGGCCGGAAGTATAGCTCAATGGTAGCATATTCACATATACCTGTGTGTGCCTAGGAGCCATCCCCAGGACTACAGCCCACGTTCCAAGTAAAGAGGGCCCTGGTAATGCTCCAGGGTAAGTTCCAACATCTGAGCCATAAAACCCAGCTTGTCTCAGTTGCTGCTGTCTTGAGTTCAAGGACTCCCTGCCACCAGGTCTCACTAAATGCATGTAGATGCTGTGGGAGGACAGCACCCCCTCCTTAACTGGGTGTGCTGAACCCCTCAGTCCTTTCATTGACTTCTCACACCCCCATGAGGGAGCTACAGTTAGGAGTCACAGAGAGTTGGAATCATTTGCCCCAGGTCCTTAGCATTGAAGGCAAAGTGGAAGAACTGAGGATCTAGTCCCAGGCTGGCTGCTTTTAGAGTCACACTAAGCTCAAATGCAGAACAGCTAACGGCCATCTCAAGAGCTTTCCTGGGGGCCTCAGTATCCTAATGTTCTCGTGACAGTGCGCACACCTTCTACATGATCCAAGTAAAGAAGGCCTTGGGGCAACGCCGAGGTGGAGGTCAGCATGAACTCATGCCACACCATCACCTCTGGCTTGTTTCAGCCACTGCTACCTTGTGCCTAAGGCCTCCCGGCTGTCAGGTCTCCTATGGACTCAGGGGTAGGACTCAGCCTTCCAGAACTCCCAGCCTACACTGTTGCTCTATTGTAAGCACAGAACAGAAGTAGGTCAAGTGTCTCCAGCCTTGACCTTCCAAAGTGAGGGACTTTCCAAAGCTCCTGTCCCACTGCCTTCAGCTCTGGTTTCCTGAAAATAGGAAGGCATGGAAAGATGACAAGAAGACAAAGACATGACCATCTGGTAGGACTTTGTTGAATGTCCCCAAGTTCCACTTTCTTTATTTAGACAGAGAGTTTGGAATTCCATCTCATTCAGTCTTGGAGTCCTCCCACTCTGGTGGTTCTGATGACTCACCCCCAAGTCCCTACAACTACAAGCACTCCAGTACAGTCCCGAGGCTTACCAAGATCTGATAGGAGTCCCCAGGCTGCACATCCCTTCTTGGAGTTCTGGCTGTTCTCTGTAGCTCTTCCTCACATTAACTTTCTCAAGTCCACCACTCAACCCCATCCCCACCCCATCCCTGGCCAAAAGACAACAATGCATGGTGTCCATTGGGCTGGGTGGACAGCCCTGGCCTGAAACACACACACACACACACACACACACACACACACACACACACACACACACAGAGAGAGAGACAGAGAGACAGAGAGACAGAGACAGAGACAGAGATTAATTTTCCTCTGGTTGTGTACTTTCCTGTTCAGGGTATCACCCTCCAGTTGTGAGTGTGCTCTTGAGACTTCTGATTGATTTCTCTTTCTCTCTTGCCCTCCCTCCTTCCTTTTCTCCCTTCCTGTTTCTCCCTCTCTCCTCCTTTCCCTCTCTCTCCCCTTCCTCTCTCCTCTTCCTATCTTCCCTTCTCTCTGCCTCTTTCTTTCCCCCTCCCTTTCTACCTCTCTCACCTTCCTCCTTTCCTTCCCTCTCTCCCTCTTTACCCCATTTCTATCTTTTTAAAAACTGAATCTTCCTCCTTTCAACTGCTATCCTGCCATAATTCCCAGCCCTTTCTTCCGAGATTTCCCCTCCCATCTTCTCACAACTTCCTGTTATATGAGTAGGGCCTGAGCACTCCAACTGCTTAATGCTAATTCCAAGCCATATGTTCGTTCTCTCTCTCTCTCTCTCTCTCTCTCTCTCTCTCTCTCTCTCTCTCTCTCTCTCTCTCTCTCTCCTGGTCTCATGTACCCCAGCCTGGCCTTAAACTCACCATGTAGCTAAGAAGGATCTTGAACTCCTAATTCTCCTGCCTTAACCTCCTGAATGCGGGCATCACAGGCATCCGGCACCATGCCTGCTTTATGTAGTGCTGGGATTGAACCCAGGGCCTCATACATGCCAAGCAAGCTCTTTGCCAACTGAGCCTCATCTCCAGCTCCCCAGCCCCATCTCCTGATCGTTTCCTGTCTTTCACAGCATTCCTCTCTCCCTTCTTGAGGCCCCTCCTTGCTTTCTGGGTCATGGCACTATTCCGATACTTATCCTCTATCTCATGCCTACTTCTTGGCTTTCCTTGCTAGGTCGGCAAGCTGTCCAGTAAGTGTATACATCTTGTAAAGAGTCCACATTTACTCTACTTCTCTCTTCATTGGGAGAAATGCCCATCTCCGGTTCCAAGAGATCCAATGACCTCTTCTGGCCTCCATAGACACCCACAAACATGCACACATAAATAAAGATAAAAAATAAATCTTTTAAAACGCGTTTCTGTTGTCCCACATTTCTCAGGTTTGGGTACTCTGTTATGGCAGCCCTGGGAATCACAGACAGCTGAGAATGCTGACCCTGACAATGACTCAAACGCCTCCTTACTGGGACAAGGGTGCCTTGGAATACTAAGTGAATTGCTAATCCCCAGGGGCTCTGTTGAGAATGCTGAGTAGATTCTGACCCTCCTTGATTCAAACTTGTCCTTCCATCTAGATCGCATCACTTCAGGCGTTTGTGACATGTGGTGATTTGTAAACCTGAGACACCCTTAGGACAGATGTAAAGCATGCTCAAACCTCCAGCTCCTGTCTCCGGCTCTCACAACCCACTGGCTTCCAGTGCTGGACAACCAGTTGGAGAATTCAGCTAAGGAACTGGGTGTCCACAGAAAGCTTGGGGTTCTGGGGGAGTCTATGAACCTGGCATGGTTTCTGTACACATTCACTCGGACTAGCTCCTGGGACATCTGCGGTCTCATACCGTGGTCAGGACACCCTGGTAGGTTCTCTGTCTGTTTCCCAGCAGTGACTCACTGCTCCATGAGAAGAAGCAAGCTGGGATTCCACAGCCTCTGTTTCTTTTCTCTTCTGTCTTTCCAGGAAGCACTTGGAACAGGATATAACAGCAGCACTTTCCACCCAGCTCGACATCCTGCTTCCAGATGCAAGACTCTGAGTGGGCACAAGGACAGCCCTGAAGCAGCCGAGAGCAGGGAGCTCGAGGTTCCGATTTGAAAGTCCGAGTCTAGCAGCTTTCAGCTAGGTCCTCGCATTGTCTTCATCCTCCCCTTTCTTGGCCCTCAAAAGATCAGAATAACGTGTAATCTGTAGTGGTTTGTGTGAGAAATGTCCCCCACTGGCCGGCTCTGGCATTAGAACACTTAGTGTGGTTCCCACTTGGTGGCGCTGTTTGGGGAGGTTACATCACAGTCTACTCATACCTTCTTCATTCAGCTCCCTGAGGTTAGCACTGTCTGATATTAAATTTCCAGAAACAAAAAATTCATTAGTGTCTTCATTGACTAATGTATATGATTATAATTGTTCTGTTTATTATTTGCTATTGCTAATCTCTTTCTATGTGTAATTTATGAATCAAACCTTACTGTTGCAGTGTTCATACCGGGAAATAAACACTGTACATGTGAAATTCAGAACTGGCTACAATTTCAGGCATCCTTGGAGTATCCTGGCACACATCTCCCTGGAGAAGAGAGGGTCACTGTACATAAAATGGGAATGATGGCAGACCTCAGCACCTGTGTCATGGGCCATAACACCTGACTGTGCTGGGAACTGAACTCAGGTCCTTTGCAAGGGTAGTATGTTGCTGGAGGGCTTCTCTCCAGGTTCCCCAAGCCCCGCAGTCCCACAATCCACTTATAAAATAATCACTCAGACGCTTATATCACTTATAAACTGTATGGCCGTGGCAGGCTTCATGCTAACTGTTCTTTTATCTTAAATTAACCCATTTTTATAAATCTATACCTTGCCACGTGGCTGGTGGCTTACCAGAGTCTTTACATGCTGCTTGTCCTGGCGGTGGCTGCAGTGTCTCCCCCCTCAGCCTTCTGCTTCCCAGAATTCTCCTCTCTCCTTGTCCCACCTACTTCCTGCCTGGCAACCTACTTCCTGCCTGGTCACTGGCCATCAGTGTTTTATTTATATAGAGCAATATCCACAGCAGTAGTATGCAATCTTAACCACTGAGCCATCTCTCCAGTCTTGGCTGATGGGCTTTTGTTGCTTTGTTTAGTTTTGTTGTGAGATAGGGTCTCATGCTCCTATCTCCCAGGGGGGCTCTGTGCAGCCAAGTTGACCTTGAACTTCTGATCCTCTTGCCTCCACATCCCAAGTGCTGAGATCACATGCGTGCACCACCACACTCAGGTCTATGTGGTGCTGAGGATGGAACCAAGGGCTTCCTGCAAGCGAGGCAAGCATGGTTACCAACTGAACTACACCTCTAGCCTTCAGATTGGTTATCTATTGTATTCTAATTAGATTCCTCAGAAACTTAGTGGTTTTAACATACCAATAAACATTATTTGACATAGTTCTAACAGCTCTAGAATTTGGAAGCAATTCAGCTTCATGGTTCCACCCAGGGTCTCTTATGGGGTTACAGACATTGTTTAGGGATTGTCTGCAGTGGTTCTCAACCTTCTTAATCTTGTGACTCTTTAATTCAGTTCCTCTTGTTGTGGTGACCCCCAACCATAAAATTATTTTCATTGCTACTTCATAACTGTAATTGTGTTACTATCGTGCATCACAATGTAAATATATGAAATGCAGGATATCTGATATGAGACCCCAAATGGGTCATGACCCACAGGTTGAGAACCACTGGACTAGGGGCTGTTTCTGAGGCAGGTCATTCATGTGGCCTCCAAGTTAATGTTGGCAAGGGGCCTTGACTCTCCACCTCATGGTCTCCTTCAGAGGGCCACTTGAGTATCCTCACAATATGGCAGCCAGCTTCTCTGCTGTCAGGTGAATACAAGAGAATACAGCAGAAGCCACGGTGCCTTTTAAGATCTACCCTCAGAAATCACACTGTCCCGCAATGCCATGCTGACCCAGGATGGTCCTGTCCATTTGGGGGGGCTGGGCTACAGAAGGACTGGCTTTATTAGGTTTTTCTTGTTGCGGACCAAACATCTGACAAGAAATAACTGAAGGCCTTGGGATGTATCATGGTAGAGCACAGGCCTCAGTTCCTACACGAAAGGAGCATGGTGGTGTGTGCCTGCAACCTCACCACGTATGGCGATTAGCAGTTCATGGGCTTCCTCTGGTATGAGGGCAGCCTGGGATACAGGAGATCTCAAGAAGTAGGAGGAAGAAAAGGAGGAGGGCCACTCAAGAGAAGGGGTGATTCTGGCTTGTACTTTGAGGTGTTCAGCCCATCATGGAGGAGAAGACACAGTGGCAAGAACGTGAAGCAGCTGGTTACACTGAGTCTGTCATCAGGAAGCGAAGAGCAGACTGAAAGTGAGGTTGAAAGGCTATAAAAACTCCAAGTCAGGCCCCTCAGTGACCTGCTTCCTCCAGGGAGGCTCGACCTTCCCCAGCAGCACCCAGCTGGGATCTGTAGATGAAATTCTAAACAGTCTTAGTAAACAAGAAACACAGAGCCAAATACAGAGTTAAAGCCAAAGAGATCTGAGCAAGAGCCACGACTACCTTATCTGACCACCTGGCCCCTGTCACTTTCAGAGAGAGAGAGAGAGAGAGAGAGAGAGAGATATTCTTCTGTGTGACTTCTCTTTTTATTGCCTTTCTGTTCTTCCTTCTCATTGGCTTTAAACCCAATCACATGACTTCCTCATCACTGCCTGTCTATACAGACCTCCAGGTCTCTATGGTTGGTACTGGGATCAAAGGTTCAGGTCACCACACTTGGCTGTGTCTTTGACCACACAGAGACTCTGCCTGCCATGTGATTAGATTAAGGGCATGTGCCACCACCACCGGACTTCTGCTTAATGGCTCGCTTTTAGCTCTGACCCCCAGGCAACTTTATT